CATAGAATAAGTATTTTTATCAGCACTTGCCTTATTTATAAAAGTGCTAGTAATCATCTTATTTTCAGTACTAACACTAGCATTGTAAGCTGTAGCGCTTCTATTTTTGACGCCACTTACGTGGCCTTCACTGTGTAGTCAGTGAATGGCCCTCTCAATGTTCCCAGGGAGGACAACAGATCCGGGATGACTAGGGTGGAGGCCATCCCTCCGGTAGAGTGCTGGCTGTTCCCAAAACGAGGCCCAGTTGTCAGTGGCATGAGACAGTGGCATGGGTGTTTTTAACCTTTACTTTTACATGGTGGACAATAGAACTACCGATAACATAAATAGAGTCCTGTGTAGAGGGACGAGGCACTGGGGCGGGTGACGATGTCCGGGCACTGGGGCGGGCGGCGAGGAAGCTCGAGACATAGGCGTGGGCGTAGGTGGTGAACTGAGGGCGGCAAAACGGTTGCCAGAGGTGAATATCGGCTGGGGTGGCGGTGAGAGTCTGCAAGGCCCTCTGCGGCGCTGGCATTCCCCGGGACCATGTGGGGCTGGCGTGAGAATGGTGTCTCCCGCCGTGCGGAAAGACGAGGCTGGCGAAACCATTGAGGGGGAAACTTCCCGGGCGGCTTCAAGCATCAACTTCCACCGAAGGAGTTCGTCCTGCTTCTTCAGGAGGGTGGCGATCTGCCAGTCCAGGTGGGCCAACTCTGAGCTCAGTGCCTGGAGAGCTTGTTCTTGGGAGGACACCATGGTGGATGGGCTGAGGAAGTATCTATGAGTGAGACAGAGAGAGGGAGAAGACAAAATAAGAGGGAGAGGCGTGAGTGGGTTAGCGGCCTGCTAACTGTAGAATATTCAAGTAATTTTCAAGTAAAGTTTGGACGCTGCTCGATCTGAAGTTCTAAGGTATGCTGCTCTCTGTCGCTCGCAGTGACGTGCTCTCTGTTGCAGCCTGGCACTGAAGGAGCTCTCCAGTGCTGCCAGTGTCTCACGCATAAGGTGGGAGCTATTTTCCAGCATCAATGCTAGTCTGGCTAACATCATCCTGTCTCCCACCACCTCCACTCGGGGCTTCCCAGGACAGAGCTGGCCTTCTTAAAGAGTCTGTCAAGTCTCTTCCTGTCTGCAGTTAAGATGCTGCTACCGCAGACACTCCATTAAAGATGGCTGATGCCACCATGGTGTCGAAAAAGGACTTCAGGAGCGCCTCCTGCACTCCAAACATCCTCAGTCTCCTAAGCAGGTATAGTCTGCTCTGGCCTTTCCTATAACGTACACTAGTGTTGTCTGACCAGTCCAGTGTGTTGTTGAGTTGAAAACCCAGGTACTTAAAAGATTCCACTCTCTCAATTTCAATTCCCTGGATGTTTACTGGTGGAGGGAGGTCTGCGTCTGCGAAAATCCACCACCATCTCTTTGGCCTTCCCTGCATTGATCAGGATGTGGTTCCTCAGACACCAGTCCACAAAGTTTTGGGTCAGTTCTCTGTACTTTTTCTCTTTTTCGTCTGTAATGAGTCCGATGACTGCTGAGTCATCAGAGAACTACTGTAAATGGCAGTTTGGTGAGCTGTACATGAAGTCTGCAGTGTACAGGGTGAAGAGGAATGGTGCAAATCCTGCGGGGCCCCTGTGCTGCTGACCACCATGTGCCCTCACACACTGTGGTCAGTTGGTGAGGTAGTCAAGATCCAATTTGATAGGTGGTGATCCACCCCTTTGTGCTCTCCAGCTTTTTCCTCAGGGGCCTAGGCTGTATGGTGTTAAAAACACTGGAAAAATCAAAGAACATGATTCTCACAGTGCTCAGTAGCATGGTCCACTAATTAACAACTTACTGTTAACATGGCGGATAAAAGAAGAACTAACCAAAAACACAACTGAATGGCACAAAGTTTCCCCAATTTTTCATAATTATACAACCCCAGTTTCGAAAATAGTTGGGATGCTGTGTTAAATGTAAATAAATGTGAATAAAAACAGAACACAATGATTTGCAAACCTAATAGACCCATATTTTATTTACAATAGAACATAGAACAGATATCAGATGTTGAGACATTTTACCACTTCAGGAAAAATATTAACTTGATGGCAGCAACAAAAGTTGGGGCAGGGCCATGCCTACCATTGTGTAACATCCCCTCTTCTTTTAACAACAGTCTGTAAATGTCTGGGAAGTGAGGAGACCAATTGCTGGATTTTGGTAGAGGAATGTCAGCCTATTCTTGTTTGATATAGGATTCTAGCTGCTCAACAGTCCTGGGTCTTCTTTGCCAGATTTTTTGTTTCATGATGCGCCAAATGTTTTCTATTGGTGAAAGGTCTGGACTGAAGGTAGACCAGTTTAGCACCCGGACTCTTCTTCTGCAAAGCCATGCTGTTGTGATGGATGCAGTATGTAGTTTAGCATTGTCTTGCTGAAATATGCAAGACCTTTCCTGAAAGAGATGCTGTCTGGATGGGAGCATGTGTTGGTCTAAAACCTCTAAAACTGTTCAGCATTGATAGTGCCATTCCAGATGTGTAAGCTGCCTGCAGCATAGGCACTAATGCAACCCCAGACCATCAGAGATACAGGCTTTTGAACTGTGCACTGATAACAAGCCGGATGGTCCCTCTCCTCTTGAGTCTGCAGAACACGGCATCCATGGTTTCCAAAAAGAATTTAAAATTTTGATTCATCTGACCACAGAACAGTTTTCCATTTAAATAAGCTTTAGCCCAGAGAAGATGACAGCATTTCTGGATTGTGTTGACATATGGCTTTGTCTTTGTGTGAAACAGCCACAGACAATGATTTCTGGAAGTGTTCCTGAGCCCATGCAGTGATTTCCTGTACAGAATCATGCCTGTTTGTAATGTAGTGCTGCCTGAAGGCCTGAAGATCACGGGCATCAAATATTGACCATTTGCCTTATCCCTTGCATACAGGAAATTCTCCAGATTCTCTGAATCTTTTGATGATATTATATACTATAGATGGAGGAATATCCAAATTCTTCACATTTTTTTCTGAAATTCTTCCACGATTTTTAGGCACAGTTTTTCACAATGGTGAACCTCTTCCCATCTTCGCTTCTGAGAGACTCTTCCTCTCTAAAATGCTCTTTTTATACCCAGCCTTGTGAGTTTACATTTTATTTTACACAGCATCCCAACTTTTTTAGAATTGGGGTAGTAAATTACATTCTGCCAACAAGTCTTTCTCCTTTCCACAATGGCAACAAAATGTAATACATGTTTTGGATGATATTTTCGATTAATCAGACCTTTGGACATTCCACGACTTAGATGCATTTTATAGTATACCAGGTTTTTCATTTTTTCTCTATCTTTGCCTATGCTGTTCCTTAAGGCTTCACTTAACCCTTACACTAAATAAAGCCCAGGAACTAGAGGATGCGTATCCTAAGTTTATCTTATTATGTATACTACGTGAGGTATATAAACCTTTGGGTCTACAAACAATATGGGAAAAGAGCTAAAAAGTGCTCAAGATCAGATCAGTGGGTAAACCGTATGGAATAACATCACATCGGCCTCTAAAAATCCTAACCCACAACTTATTCATTAAAATTTTTTCCACAGATTCTATTCAACTCCCTGCAGATCCTACCAAATGTGCTTTACTCCATCTCCCTTTTTGTCCTGATGTTTGATAATGGTAGATGTTTACAAATGTACTGGGAGAGCTCAAATGCGCGTATGTTTTGGACTGAGGTTTCTGTTACATTGTCAGACATTCTCTATGAAACTACCAAATAGTCCAAAGTTCTAAATGATGACTCTGAATGTAATGTTAATTGTGCTAAAAAAGCAAATCTGGTTGGCACAAAAAAAAAATCTTTACACTGGAAACTTTTGCTGGCAGCAATAGATCCTCACCTTTGTGGAAATTGTTAATATGGAACTTTCAACTGCAAGGATCCATGGTGCTAGTTGGAGGATTTTGAACACTTTGGAAAGTGCAGCTAAGAGGATTGGTAACTTATTGTGAAACATATTTTCTTTTTTAACAGCATTATTGTACTGGTTTGTTTTGTATCGTATATGTGTCAAAGGGTTTTTTTTAATTGATTAAATTCATGTGGGTGGGGAATGGTGGGGGACTGGGTGCTCCATTTTGCTGTAGTTGTTTTTCGCCTACTGTATTTGATATTATTAAGAGCTTTATCTTAAAAATAAAAACATTTGATCGCAAAGATAAATTATTGATAAAGCACTTTTTGTTGTGTATGTGTGTATCTGTCGCAATAAAACTGACTTTTATAGTCTGTCGCTGTGTCCCACCTGCAGTGCTATAATGGTAGAAATGTGGAGCACATGTGGATTAACTCCAATGAAACAAAAACATCCCAAAGAAAGAAACATTTTAACAATGTGCAGAGGCCCAAAGAAGATTAAACTTGTAATCAGTCCAGCTCAGAACAAACAGAAAGACACAATTTTCTCTCCTCATGCAGCAAATCTGAAGATTTTTACAGTTAATTTAAAACTTATATCCATCATTTGAAGAGAATATGATTAATACTGAAACTGAAGATATGATACACATGTTTAGGAGAGACACCATAATGTGTTAAATCAGATAAATATGTTTACAGCTGTTACACACATAGAGAAAAGAGTGAAACGCAATATTAAACTAACCACATATGTTATTTATTTAAGTGTGTATGTGTGTGTGTGTGTGTGTGTTTATAGATGTTTTGATTTTACCCTATTGACATATAGATATAAATATTTTTTTTCTTTCTTTTATATATTCTTTTTTTTAGCATCATCTTCATATTAAGTTTCTATTCATCACTTTGGCAACAGTTACAGTTGATTCTAATACAGCTATTAGAATTAGGATTTTAAATACAGAGAGAGAAACAGTGAGAGAGACAAAGAGAGACAGAGACTAACAGAGAGAGGCAGACAGAGAGAGACAGAGTGGAAGGTGAGAACATTTAAATGAATATATTAATGTGTGTGTGTGTGTGTGTGTGTGTGTGTGTTTAGACTGGAATATGGAGGTGAGATCAGAATCACACCAGGACTGAAGAAATGTAAGTACACACACACACACACACACACACACACACACACACACTAATCTCTCTCTTGTGTGCAGATTCCTGTCAGTTCACTCTGGATCCAAACACAGCCTACGCAGACCTCACTCTGTCTGACGGGAACAGAAATGTGACACATGTGGAAAGGCATCATGCTTATCACTCGTATCCTGATCATCCAGAGAGATTTGATGGGTGCTGGCAGGTTTTGTGTAGAGAGAGTGTGACTGGACGCTGTTACTGGGAAGCTGAGAGGAGCGGGATGGTTCATATAGCAGTTACATATAAATCAATCAGCAGGAAAGGAGGCAGCGATGACTGTGGGTTTGGACGGAATGAAAAGTCCTGGAGTCTGAGCTGCTCTAATAACAGTTACTCTGTCTGTCACAATAATAACATCACTGCTGTCTCTGCTCCTTCCTACAGCTGTAAGAGAGTAGGAGTGTATGTGGACTGTCCAGCTGGCACTCTGTCCTTCTACAGCATCTCCTCTGATACACACACACTGACACACTTACACACATTCTACACCACATTCACTGAACCGCTCTATGCTGGATTTACAGTCTGTTCTGACGCCTCATTGTATTTGAGATAGAATAACCTCCTCTAAAATAACTAGAGCCCATGAAAACTTTTTGAAAAAACTGAATTCTCTCTCACTGTATGTCTCTGTCTCTCACCTTCCTCTCTCTTTCTGTCTCTCTCTCTGTCTCGTTCACCTTCCTCTCACTCTCTGTATCTCTGCCTGCCTGTCTCTTTAATTTTCTTTCTATCACTTCAAATCTCTCATTTTCTCTATCACTGTCTGTCTCTCTTTCTCTCTCTCTCTCTCCTACTCTTTAAAGGTCTCAAATCTACACTTTTTTTCACTCTGAGCTCCACTTGTAACGTTTGTGTGGCTTTGTGTATAAAAACAGCCATATTTCATTTATACATGATCATTTCTCTTCATTCTCTATAAATAAACAGTCGGTATTTGTTTCTGTGCCTTTAAGATTGATATATGTAAATGGCCTCTGTTCAGATTGGCTGTATTGTGCCTCATTTAAAAAGCAGTTCAGTCTGTATTTCTCTGATAGGGAGATGATGGTTCAGATGGAGATGATGTACAGAATCAGTGGAAGATCTTCAATAAAGACATGATCAATAATTAAGTATGTTTAATAAAGTATTAATAAAATTCACATCTGATTTATTTACACTTGTACAGATAACATAAACTGAGTTTAAAATAAAACAAACAATTTTTGGGTTAGCTTGTGACTAGTGGATAAGGTCATGGCTAGTGAGTTATTTCACAGCTAGCAGGTAAGGATGCAGCTAGTGAGTTATTTTGCAGCTAGCAGATTAATTAATGACTAGCAGGTTATTTTATGGCAGCAGGTTAGTCCATGGCTAGCAAGTTAGCTTGCAGGTAGCAGGCAAGGTCATGGTTAGCAGGTTAGGTCTTGTCTAGCATGTTAAGTCATGGCCAGCCTGTTACCTCGTACCTCTTAGGTTGTGGTTTTAGAAAGTGGGTTATGTTATAGCTAGTAGGTTAGAATGCAGCTAGTGGGTAAGATTGTGGCTAGCGTGTTTGGTTGTGGCTAGCAGGCTATTTCGCAGCTACTATCTAATGTAGTGGGTAGCAGTTTAGCTCATAATTAGCAAGTTAGATTGTGTCTATCAGGTAGATCATGACTAGCTAGTGGTGAGTTAGCTCAGTGGGTTAGATTACGGCTGACGAGTTAGGTTATGGCTGGTGGGTTAGGTCATGGCTAGCAGGTCATGTCATGGCTAGCAGGTTACGTTGTGGCTAGCAGGTTCATTACTGGCATGTTGTGTCACAGCTAGCAGGTTAGGTTACAGTTAGGTCATGGCAAGTGGGTTAGCTCACAGCAGCTAGAAGGTTAGCTTGAGGGTAGTGAATTATAGCATGGCTTGCTGCTTATTTAATGGCGAGCAGGTTAAGTTGTGGCTAGCAGGTTCATGACTGGCCTGTTGTGTCACAGCTAGCAGGTTAGGTTACAGTTAGGTCATGGCTAGTGGGTTAGCTCACAGCAGCTAACAGGTTACGATGAAGGTAGCAAGTTAGAGCATGGCTTGCTGGTTATTTCATGGCTAGCAGGTTATTTCATGGCTAGTGGGTTAGGTCATAGGTCATAATGTGCATGTTAGGTAAAGGTTAATAGGTTAGTTTGCTGCTTGCAAGTTAGCTTGCAGCTGACAAATTAGATCATGACTAGCACATTATGTGGTGGCTAGTAGATCAGATTGCAGCTAGCACATTAGGTCATGGCTAGTCGTTTAGCTTGCAGCTAGCGGGCTAGGTTCTGGCTAGTGGATTTGATCATGGCTAGTGAGTTAGGTCATGGCTAGCAGGTCATCTCACAGCTATTGCATTACATTGTGGTTAGCGGGTTAGAGTAGCATGTAGGGTAATAGCTTGTAGGTTATTTTGCAGCTAGCAGGTTAGGTCATGGCTAGTGCATTAGGCCATGATTAGTGTTTTTTTGTTGTAAATTTAATAACGTGTCTTCCATTAGCAATACTTAACTGCATAAGACTATCATAAGCATTATTTAATCACAATTGACCAATAATTAATGCTGTATGTGATCCTTAAACGTTTTAAAAACACTATTATTTAAACTACTTATTTTAGCTGTTATCTTAATTAATATTTAAACCATTCCATAATTGTAACATAAAACTTCAATTATTGGATACCTAATGATATAATTTTAACGATTTTTAATTATAATGTTATTTTATATATGTATTTATTTATGCAGATGAATGATAAAGTTAGATTAATTAAAATGTTATTTTTCTAATAAGTAGATAATTGCTAAGTAATAAGTAGATACTGCTGAGCTGCTGGTGTACCATGTGGAGATGCCATATGTAAGCACGCTTTCAATAGAGCAGTGGTGGTAAGAAATCAGAAGCTTCTCTTGCAGGTTGTTTTCCTGAGGATTCTTAGAAAGTAGAGTCGCTGCTCTGCCTTTTTAACCAATGCCATGGTGTTCATAGTCCAGGAGAGATCTTCACAAATGTGTGTGCCCACGCATCTGAAATCATGTACTCTTTCCACAGAGTCCCCGTTGATGTATAATGGGTTAGGTTTTGTAGAGTTCTTTCTGAAGTCTATGATGAGTTCTTTAGTTTTTGAGGAGTTCAGTGTGAGATTGCTCTCTGAACACCACAGAGCCAGTCCGTGGACTTTAGATCTCTGTAGGCTTTCTTGTCTCCTCCAGAGGTAAGTCCAATTACCGCTGTGTCGTCCGCGAATTTGATTAGAGTGTTGGTGGGAGGGGTGGGGCCACAGTCATGACTGTAGAGGCCGTAGAGAAGGGAGCTCAACACACAGCCCTGTGGTGCACCGGTGCTGAGTGAGCTTGTGGTGGAGAGGTGGGGGGCAAGTCTAACAGTCAAAGTGCGGTTGGAAAGGAAGTCCTTGATCCGGTTGCTGGTGGGTTGGGAAAGTCCAATGTCAGTTAGCTTATTGACCAGTCTGCCTGGGAGGAGTGTTTTAAAGGCAGAGCTAAAGTCTATGAAAAGCATTCTCCCCTGGCGTTTATGGTGGGTTGGGGCAGTGATGTCTTTCATGGACCTGTTTACCCTGTAGGAGAATTGGTGTGGGTCGAAGCTTGGTGGGAGGCTGGCTTTGATGTGCTGCAGGACCATCCTCTGAAAGCACTTTATTATGACATGTGTGAGTGCATCATTGATGATGATGTGATGTTACATCATCAGGGCCAGCAGTTGTCCTCAGGTTCACAGTTTTGAGCACACGTCTGACCTCATGCTCCTGTACTGTGAGGGTGTGGTTTTTGGGAGCTGGTGGCAGGACTGAGTCTGAATCCACTGATGTCACCTCGTAGCAAGCAAAGAAACAGCAAAAAGTTCCTCTGCTAGTGAGGCATCTCCTTTGGCGGCTGTGCGGTTGCTGGTCTTGTGGTTTGTGATGTGCTGTATGATGTCCTTGTGATGTCCTGCCACACCCGCCTTGGGTTGTTGTTGGTGAAGTGGTCCTTAATTTTCCTCTTGAAGTCTGCTTTGGCCTCCCTAATGCCTTTCTTCAGGTTGGTGCTGGAATAGTCCTTCTCGTTGGTTAAGTAGTGATCAGACTGGCCTAGTTGAGGGAGTAATGTTGTCATATGTCCGTTCTTAATGTTTTAATAGACTTTGTCCAGAGTATTTTTCCCCCTTGTAACATATTTGATGTATTGGTGAAATTTTGGGAGAACTGCCTTTAAATCTGTGCGATTAAAACCTCCAGCAATTATATGGGCTGCTTCAGGGCAAATACACTGTTGTGAATCAATAGCACTGAACAGTAATTGCTTTTTGCATTGTTTTATGAAATTCACTAGCATAATGCTAATTTCTATTAGTCTTTCAATGAGAATCCCTATGTAATATTATCATCAAGCTAACAGTTGTGTCTGTGTTTTTAGCATGCTCCATCTTAAACACAGACAATTAAAGCTTGCAACAGACATTCAAGTAACATTTTCCTTTTTTTGACTTGTTGGAGTTTTACAGTGTCTCTGGAATCTGGTCAAACTTGGTACTATTCATAGACTACAGTCGAATGCTTGTGTTCAGTGGTTAGTCGACGATATCATGTAGCACCCAATGTTTAACCATTTCAAACCCAAATTAGGCTCCAAAGCACAAAAATATGATCTGTTCTTATTCTAAACCCAACCATAAGTGATCAATCAAATGTTCAGAATTGTTTATAATGGCTGATGTCCAATACAAAGCATGTTGGTAGCAATATTTCAGTATTTACATATAACAATTTTAAGAGCTACTGGAAGAAAATCTGAACACAATTTGTATTTACAGGGAAGTGTTTTGCATTTCAGGAATGCAGTTCATTAATAAAGTGATGCTTCAAAACATTACGTATTTAAAGATTCTCATACACATGAATGTATTTTTAGACCATATATTTTTTATATATATTTTGAGTGCATGACTGTGTGGAAATCATGCACTCTAGTGGCACTCACATTAGTATCGGCCAGTATTTGCTTATTTAAAAATCATTTGCATTGGGCTGATGCTGAGATTTGACCAATATTTCGAACCGATATTTGACAACACATTTATTGTATGCTAGAAGAGCACGATTAACATTAAGACAACATTGGCTGCACTACAGCAGCACAGTTACATTTCTCCCACAGCAATGTGCACACATGCAAAACCTGCAGCTACTCAAGTAGGTAGCTTCATTCATAAAACTCTAGGCTGGACGTTTTGATAGCTTAAATCTCCTTATCTGCATCCCTTATCAGGCAAAATATTAGTTTACTGCCTCACTCCTTGCTGTTTTGAAGCTGAAAGTGGCTAGGCTAGTAACATTACCTCAGCTAACTTAACTTTAGCATCTGTCTGTTCACCTGAAAAACTGGCTTTAATTTAATGTAGTCGTGGCAAAATGCTGAGATTCCCTGCTGTGACATGCTGAGGAATTGAACTGTGCTTATGATGCACTGGTGCCAGTGTGTAGAGCTCAATTAAAAACAAGGGTTTTGAAAATTTGGACACTATGTGCATCTGGTTTGTGGTGGCCTTTACAGAAGGCATTTTTGCAAGCTGAAGATATAAAGATATATACATTTAAACATTGGATATCAGCATTTGCCCAGAATTCCCATAATCAGTGCATCCCTAAAAATTAGACAATAAGGCAAAAATATAGTATCACA